TTTGTTGAGACCAGCCTTACTCCCTATGTTGACTATGGGCAACATAGGGAGACCCCATCTCTACAAAACAATTAAAATTAGCTGGGCGGCCGGGCGCGGTGGCTCAAGCCTGTAATCCCAGCACTGTGGGAGGCCGAGACGGGCGGATCACGAGGTCAGGAGATCGAGACCATCCTGGCTAACACGGTGAAACCCCGTCTCTACTAAAAATACAAAAAACTAGCCGGGCGAGGTGGCGGGCGCCTGTAGTCCCAGCTACTCCGGAGGCTGAGGCAGGAGAATGGCGTAAACCCGGGAGGCGGAGCTTGCAGTGAGCTGAGATCTGGCCACTGCACTCCAGCCTGGGCGACAGAGCGAGACTCCGTCTCAAAAAAAAAAAAAAAAAAAAAAAAAATTAGCTGGGCATGGTGGTGCACACCTGTAGTCCCAGCTACTCGGGAGGCTGAGGTGGGAGGATTGCTTGAGCTCAGGAGGCAGAGGCTGCAGTGAGCCGTGATTGCACCACTGCTCTCCAGCCTGGGTGACAGGGCGAGAACCTGTCTTAAAAACAAAATGAATAAATAAAATACAGTAAAAAAGAAGGCCAAGAGCCCCTGTGGGGGTAGGTGCACCAGACACTGTCCCTTTGGTTTCTAGGGTGACCATCGGGATGAGGAGGAAGAGACTCACATGAAGAAGTCAGAGTCGGAGGTGGAGGTGAGAGCTGGGGCACCAGCCAGGTGAGGCGGACAGGGCTACCTCCGCTTGCCTGGCCGAGCCCCAACCTTTTCCTTGTGCCCTCAGGAGGCAGCGGCCATTATTGCCCAGCGACCTGACAACCCACGGGAGTTCTTCAAGCAGCAGGAAAGAGTCGCATCAGCCTCTGCAGGCAGCTGTGATGTGCCCTCGCCCTTCAACCATCGACCAGGTAGTCCTAGGCCTCACCCCCACCTGGCCCCACTCCTTAGGTCACAGCCCTGAGCCTCTCTGGGACTCTCTTGGAAGGGAAGCCTTGCCCAAGGAACCCTTGGAGAAGGCGAGACCTTCATCCAGCGTGCATCCGCCCACCACTTCCCAGGTGGCAGGACCCCAAGAAGGGCCAGGGATGGTGGTGAAGTCGCTTGTGGCTGAACAGTGGGGAGTGCTAGGGCCTGTGGGGTAGCTCTGGCATGGGCCGAGGCACAGCGCTGGCCGCGGGGAGCAGCTTGGCTGGGGTGAATTAGGCCTGGCCTGGAAGGCCGGGATGCATGCGGGCTGGGCTCTTGTCTCCGGCCTGAGTGAGCCTCCTGGAGCTTGCACCCAGGTGTCCCTGTTCCGCTTCTCACTGTGCTGCTTCTGCCTCCCCTGAAGCTCTTCCCTGCCCTGTCTGCTGGTCTGAGTGTGCTTGCCCCGTGCTGGGGTCCCGCCACAGGCCCTGCCCGCTGTACTGCTCCCAGGCTGGCTGTGTGTCTGGGGCTGGTGTGAGGCTGTGGCTGGCTTGGCTGAGTGTGCCCCTGGCTGAAGGCAGCTTGGACATCCAGGGCCAGCCCTGGGGGCGGGAGAGGCCTCGGGCAGGGGTGGGGGAGACTGACCCTCTCTTGTCCTCTGTCTCTTTCTCTGTCTGTCTCTCTCGGCAGGTCGTCCGTACTGCCCTTTCATAAAGGCATCGGACAGTGGGCCTTCCTCCTCCTCCTCTTCCTCCTCCTCCCCTCCACGGACTCCCTTTCCCTATATCACCTGTCACCGCACCCCAAACCTCTCTTCCTCCCTCCCATGTAGGTAGCAGCCCCAGGCCTCGGCGGGGGTGGTAAGGAGGGCCCCGCTTCCCAGCAGCCCCCCGCCCTCACTGCCCCAGCCTGACCGCTGATCTCTGGCGTTTGTCCCCAGGGCAGGCACTGCCTGCCTCTTGCCCCTGGCCTTGTGGGGCACTGGCCCCCAGGGGCCTAGCTTACAGGGTCTGGAGCTGTAGTCTGGCCCCTGCAGGGGCTGGGGAGCTCCCAGCCCCCACCCAGACTCCAGAGAGGAGGTGCTGGCCAGGCCCCAAGGAGGACAATCCTGTCTCACCCCGCTCCCCCGCCCTCACTGACCCACCTGGGGTTTGTTCCACAGGCAGCCACCTGGACAGCCACCGGAGGATGGCGCCCACCCCCATCCCCACGAGGAGCCCGTCTGACTCCAGCACCGCCTCCACCCCTGTTGCTGAGCAGATAGAGCGGGCCCTGGATGAGGTCACATCCTCGCAGCCTCCACCGCTGCCACCGCCACCCCCACCAGCCCAAGGTGAGAGAGGGATCCTACCTGCACCAGGCCTCCCGTCATCAGTCCTTGGCTGGGAGCCCCAGGTTGCCATGGTAACCGTTCTCCAGGGATCTGGGCCACCCATCACGAAGACTGCACTGCCCTGGAGGCGGCTGCTGGGGGAGGAGCCCTGGTGTACAGTCAGACCTGCCCTCTCTAAAGCTTAGCACCTGCCCTCTCAAGTGGGAATCGGGCCTTCCCAGAGCTGCCAAGGGGCTTAAAGTCACTGGGGTCACTGGGTAAGGGGGCAGTGGGCCACCTGCATGGAAGTCCCCGGCTCTCTCACTCGTTAGTGGGTGGGCAGGGTCTCCATCCTCCCCCAGGGGAGCCAGTTGCATGTCTCCTCTGCCTGTGCTGTGACAGAGACCCAGGAGCCCAGCCCCAGCCTGGACAGTGAGGAGACCAGAGCAGCAGCCCCTCAGGCCTGGGCTGGCCCCATGGAGGAGCCCCCTCAGGCACAGGCGCCTCCCCGGGGGCCAGGCAGCCCTGCAGAGGACTTGATGTTCATGGAGTCTGCAGAGCAGGCTGTCCTGGCTACTCCTGTGGAGCCTGCCACAGCTGACACCACTGAGGTCCACGGTGCAGCTGACGCCATTGAAACCGACACTGCCACTGCGGACACCACTGTTGCCAACAACGTGCCCCCCGCTGCCACCAGCCTCATTGACCTATGGCCTGGCAATGGGGAAGGGGCCTCCACACTCCAGGGTGAGCCCAGGGCCCCCACGCCACCCTCGGGTACTGAGGTCACCCTGGCAGAGGTGCCCCTGCTGGACGAGGTGGCTCCGGAGCCACTGCCACCAGCAGGCGAAGGCTGTGCCACCCTTCTCAACTTTGATGAGCTGCCTGAGCCGCCAGCCACCTTCTGTGACCCAGAGGAAATAGAAGGGGAGCCCCTGGCTGCCCCCCAGACCCCAACTCTGCCCTCAGCCCTTGAGGAGCTGGAGCAAGAGCAGGAGCCAGAGCCCCACCTGCTAACCAATGGCGAGACCACCCAGAAGGAGGGGACCCAGGTGCGGCAGGGACTGCCTGGTGGGAGGGATGGGAGGGAGTGGGGGCTGAGCAGGGTGCTGGCCCTGCATTCCTCATGCTTGCACCAGTACCCCCTTTCTCTGTGACCCACATTATTGGAGGGGAAGTCCATCCCACCCCGCCTCTGTGGGCCAGCTCTGCTTTTGTTCCCAAGACAGGCATCCGTGTTTCCCTGGCAACCACTGATGGAGTCATTGGTTGCTGAGGAAATGCGCTCAGGCCTGATAGGTAAGCCCCAGTCCGGCTGGGTGGGGCCAAGTGACCTAATGCTTTCGCCTGCAGGCCAGTGAGGGGTACTTCAGTCAATCACAGGAGGAGGAGTTTGCCCAATCGGAAGAGCTCTGTGCCAAGGCTCCGCCTCCTGTGTTCTACAACAAGCCTCCAGGTAGTACTGGGCTGGATTATGGGGAGGAATTTGGGTGTGGGGGCTGGATTTGAGTGTGGGTAGCCACCCCACCACTACCCATTGCTCACAGAGGCTGGGGACACAAGTATGGGTCTGCTAGGTCCTTAACTCCTCTCCCTTTCTAACGCCTCAGAAATCGACATCACATGCTGGGATGCAGACCCAGTTCCAGAAGAGGAGGAGGGCTTCGAGGGTGGTGATTAGTGGTGGCGCCAACCCTAGGCTACCCTTGCCAAGGCCGCCCACCTGCATCGGCCTCTGGCCAGACGGCCCGCCGTGCCTGCATTCACAGCAGCTCCGCCTGGCACCCACTCTGGATTCCGGCCCTGGCTGGGGACTTGGCCGCTTCCCTACCCACAGGGCCTGACTTTTACAGCTTTTCTCTTTTTTTTAAAAGTTGATAGGAGACTTGTACAGTTGACTGGTTTTCCTCCCGTTGGTAGTTGAGACGCTGTTGCAAATTCCACCCCTCCTTCCCTGGTCCAGATTGTAGCTCTTAGTCCTCCCTGCTCAGCTGGCCGGGGTGGAGGCCTCACCCTGCTTGGGGCCTGGCGTTGGGGGAGCTCTGGTGGGAAAGTGTCTCCCACCTCTTTTCCTAGTTTTATGTTTCTTGGAAAAATATCACTTTGTATTCTCTGTCCAGGGCTTCAGATATTTTGCACGAATTTTAAAACATGGCAATAAATGGCTCGTGGGCTCTGGCTCCCTGGGACCCCCTCCCCGCCCTTCTTTTGACCCCTTCTTGTCTGGCCCAAAGGAAGTAGCAGGCCCAGCTGGGGCCCCTCGGCTGCCCCCCCCCCCTCTCCTGCCGGGCAGGTCCCAGGCTGGAGGCCCTAGGCGCGGTTCAGGTCAGGGCTATGGATGGGGCCCAGGGGCTTTGGTGGCCCCTCCCCAACTCCTTCCTCTTTGCTTGGGTTCCTTTTTCACGTTCAGTAACTGTTTTTTTTGGAAAGCACAAACTTCTGTAACGGGTCGTGCTCATGTCTGTTAATAAAGAAATCCAGATCCCTTTGGGCTGCCGCCTGCCCTGACCCAGGTTCCCAACTCCTCCCATCTCCGAGGCCGCAGCACCTCCTTGCCACCAGGGGGCGTCCTCACCCTGATTCCAAGACCCGCCGGGGCCGGGGGGCGGTGCTGGGAGCTGAGGCTCCCGGGGGAAGTCGTCTGGAACTGAGAAGGTTGATCTCAGTTCTGTACCCTTAGGCTCTATTGTGGCGGAAACGCACGTTCAGGGTCCTTCCTGCCAAGGTCCTGGCTTGTCTGGTCACCAGAACCCTGGGCGAAAGCAGCGGGTGCACCCTCCGCATGTACCAAACCAGATCACACACCTTTATTATCCTCAAAATGTAACAAACGGGATAAGAAATCCCTCCCTCCCCCCGCCCCTCCCCGCAGTCCAGGGAAGCATTTAAAAAGCCCCGCAGTCAGGCCAGGAGTCCGCCGGTGGGGCCCGGGGCGCCGGGCGCCCCTCTATACGGCTGTAGTCCTCCCGAACAAGGGGATGGAGACCGGCAGACGCCAAGCTCCGTGCTCCAGTGGCTCGCGGCTGCTGAGCTCTGAGTCGGTCCAGCTGGGGAAGACCCGGCGGCCACGGTCGGCCTGCAGGCAGAGGGCTGGGCAGGGCGGCGCGGGCCGAGGGGCGCTGGGCAGGTGCAGCGCGGAGTTGTAGCCCCGGTCCAGGAAGAGCGGCTTGTAGCTGGGAGGCGGCTGCTCCTGTTTTTCCGCGCTGTCGCGGCGGCTCAGGAAAGGCGTGACGATCTTGCGGTAGAGGCCGCGCGTGTCCGTGAGCACCTCGCTGTAGGGCGGCGGCGGCTCGGCCATCAGCACCGCCTCTTCGTAACACGGTGGCTTGGACATGTCCGATTCCGCTGCGGAGTGGGAGGCGGTCGGAGGGGGTGAGGCCGCCGGTTCCCAGCCTCTCGCAGAGGCCCCAGCCAGGGGCCGCCCGCGCCCCAGCTCCAGCCCCAGCCCCAGCCCGAGCCCGCCGCTGCCCGTGTTCTCCCGGAGGCTGCGGGTGGAAACCCCGCGGGTAAGCAGCGAGCACTCCAACGCCCGCCCACTCCCGGTGGCCCGGATCGCCCCCTGGCGGAGGTCGGTACTCACCTTGGCGCGGGTAGCTCCAGGGCCGTGGCGGCACCGACAGGTGCGGAGGCGGCGGGTGCGGGAGCGCGTGGTGGTGCGGGTGTGGGTGTGGATGCGGATGCGGGTGCGCGTGCGGCTGCGCGGGCCCGTGGTGCAGCAGCGGGTGCACGTGCACGTGCGGATGCGAGTGCGCGTGCGCCGGCGCCTCCAGGCGACTGCGGTGCGGCGGTGGCTGCGGCGGCGCCAGGCCCGGGGGGCTCCCGGCCAGACTGCCCTCGAGTTCGAGGGGCTCCAGCTCTAGGGCGCGCAGGTTCTGCTCGCGCAGTCGCTCCTCCTGGCGCCGTTTGAGGCGGCGGCGCAGGAAGCTGCAGAAGCAGCAGAGCAGGACGATGAGACCCCAGATGAGCCAAAAGCCGGCGAAGCACGTGAGGAACGTGTAGGTGCCCTGGGACATCACCATGGCGGCGGCACGGGCGGCGGGTCCTCAGCCGCTTCACTGGACACTGGGCTCCTCTGCGTGGCCCCGGGCCCGCGCCACACTCTCAGGTGCCGCCAGCGTCACTCGGGGACCCGCGGCCGGGGGCTGCCCGTGGCAGGTCTCAAGTCGTGCGCGCGCCGGCGGGGGACAGCAGCGGCGCCCGCTCCTTCCCATGGCGCCGGCGGGCGCGCGGGCGTGCCTCACCCGGGGCCGCGCGGGACCTGTGGGGCAGACACGGGGCGCAGTGAAGGCGCGCCGCGGCCCCCAACGACTTCCCGGCCCCCGCCCGCGCCCTGCGCAGTCCGGGGAAAGCCTTCTCCGTGGGAACCCCGCTCTCCCCGGGGGGGGCGGTGACGTCACCGAGGAGGGTGACGTCACGCCTCGAGGTTTCCCCGGTAGGGTTTCCCCGATCTGAGCCCCGGCCGCCGCCGCGGAGCCCGGGCGCCGAGGGGAGCCGAGGCGGGCCAGCAGGGGGCGCGCGAAGGCCGGACTCCAGCTCGGACGAGAGATTCGCCATCCACAGTCCCTGGGCCAAAGGTACCCCAGCTGCGAAAAGGTTTCAGGAGCCTGTGCGCACCAGGTCCCTGAAGAGGCGTCTCGACGCGGTTGCTGTGCGGCGGGGAAAGGGTGGTATATCTCCTGGAGCCCCACAGACAGCCACCCGGCGCCCTGTACAGACCCTGGTAGCCCCTGGCTGCCCAAAGCCCGGAACAACTGACCCTGTACCGCGCCCTCCGGGTCTCCGCCGCTCCCATTGTAGGGCTCAGGCGGGTGGCTCCGACTGGTAATGCGTGCCAGTACTGCGTGCCACCGGCCCTGCCTTTGCGCCTAGCGCCCTGCGCCGAGCGTGGGCCAGTCTCTCTCTTCCTTTCCTCCAGGCGCCCTGCCTGCTCCAGCTCCGCTTCCCCGCCTCCTACCCTTGCACAGCCCCACTTGGCTCTGCCTCTGTCTCCAGGCCGCCGTCTCCCTTTCCCTCTCGCGGAGGGGAGGAAAAGTAGATGAGGGTCGGAAGCTAGTCTGTCATACCCACCTGGTCCTGCACTCACGCCAGACGGGCATCTCTAGTTCCGCTTCCTCCCCTCCACAAATGCGGGTGAGAGGGGGAACCTTGCACCCTAAGAGGGAGGTAGGAGGGAGCCCTGACTCTGAGTGAAAGGTGGCAGGTGACTGCTCACCGCCCCCACAGAACAGAACTGAGCCTTTCCTGAATGCCTTATACACACAGGTTTGAACGAAAGCCTTCGGGTAACTGGAATGATTCCTATTTTACAGATGAGGAGTTGGGGAAAACTGGCTGTGTAGATGGCAGGTGGTGGAACCATAATTTGAACCCAGGCCTGGCCACAAAACCCTAGCCTGGGTGGGGTGGGGGGTAGTGCTGCCTGGGCTACTTTGTGGGCCTCTTCCAGGAGCCCCACAGACCCTCCTACCCTCAGCACGCCCAAGGCACACACACACTCTGCTTTGAGAGCCACAGGGAGCCTGAGCCCCAAGCTGGGGGGAAGCCAGGCCATGGGCCACCCCACACTTCTCCCCAGATGGCCCCTGACTCCATGGCTGCCTTCAGCCACGTGCCACTTGGTGCCCGTGCTGGTCCCCTTCTCCTGGGCCTGCGTTCCAGAACAGACAATGGCAGGAACCATAGCTCTGCCCGCCCCCTCGACAACCCTGCCATGAGGCTGCCATGGTGACGCAGCCCAGATAAAAACACGATGCTGCCAGTCACTGGGAGTTAATTACATCTGTTATTCTTTTCCTGAGCCATCAGGAATGCTCTGAGGAAACTGGCACTAACTAGAGGTCCCCCTGGCCTGCCAGGCAGGAACAGCTCTGGGTCAGAAAAGGTAACCCTGGGGCTGGAGGTGATGGGGTTTAGCTGAATTACAAATATCTTTCAAGGACCACACAGAATCCTCTCAACACCACCTTGTCCATGCTGGTTGTGCCCATTTGATAGACAGGGAGATAGGCTCAGAGAGGGAAATGACTTGCCCCAGGTCACACAGCTCAGAAGGGGAGGAGCTAGGATTTAGCCTGAGTCTGAATCCAAACTCTGTCAAAACACTCCCTATGTGATAAGCCAGATGTAAGTGGCAGCCATGGGGGCACTGGGCAGACAGGCCAGCTAGCAGCCAAAATGTGCATTCCCACCCCTTCCCACCAGGGCCCTGGCATGCCTGATCACCAGCCCGACGCTGCTGTGGAATAGCACCATGAGACAGAGCTACAGGATGAAGGGGAGATGTAATGGCAGCTCCAGGTTAGCAAGAGACAAAAGACAGGGTCTGGGCCCTGAGGGCACCCAGCTCAGCAGGTAGGGCATTAGGCCAGACAGGGCAGGCCATGCCCAGGACCTGCTGGGTGCCATCATAGCTGCATTTTATAGACTAGGCAACTTTGGGCCAAAGAGCAAGAGGAAGGCACTTGCTTAAGGTCACATCGCTAGCCCCATGGCCCCAGCCTGGCTCTGCCCCCAGGTAGAGTGGGTGGGGATTTGACGCTGAACACTATCCCCTTGGCAGTGTCACAGCAGGCCCACGGGACTGGAATGCTGTCTGACGCCTCCCTCCCAGGTGCTCAGTAGACTCTCACTAACCGACCATAGGTGCTCAATACATAAACATCAGAGGTTCATTCAGACCTTTCAAAATGCTCTACCTGACCAGGCCAGACTTTGCAAAGCCTCCTGAAAAAAGCATGCCCCCTTACTGCTCCTTTCCTATGTGAGCTCTTGCCCTTGTCTGGGAGCCTTTCAGACTCAGACCCTGCCTGCAGCCTGCTTCTCCCAGTCACTCCCTCCACTGTCCACACTGCTCCAGACTGGTAGTAGCACATACCTGCCTCCTCCTACCCACCCAACACATTCAGGTGCTAGGAACGATGCCCTGCAGACAGACTGCTCTGCCATTTTATCATTTTATTACTCATGTTCTGTTTGTTTCCTGTTTCTCTTTTCCTACTTTCTTGAAGGTTATTTGAACATGTTTTAGGGTTCCATCTTGATTTATCTGTAGTGTTTTTGAACCATATCGCTCTGCATGTTTTCTTGGGCCACACACTCACTGGGAGCACGGCAGGGGGATGAAAGCAAGACCCTTGGTGAGTTTCTTAACCTCCAAGTTGCTTCAGTTTCCTCATCGGTGAAGATGAAGCTAATCCATGCCAATGGTGTGGAGGTGCCAACAAACATTAGCTCTGATGGTGGCTTCTGAGCTGAGGATGCAGAGATGTGTGTGTCCCCAGGGTGCTCCCTGCCTGAGAGCTGGGCACCACCCTCTTCGAAGCAGGCTAGCATTCTTGTCATTTGGCAGATGGGAACACTTGGCTCAAGGAGATTAAATGACACCCAAGGGCACACAGAACCAGGGCCTGGCTGCATTGCTGTGGGCACCTCCCACACCGCCCTCTGCACAAAGAACCCTCCACTTCAGCCTTACACGCCAAAGCACCAAAGATCTGCTACTGGGTCCTTTATCTCAGCAAGAGCCTACCATTCCTTCCATCCGCCGCATCCTCTGCAGGGTGGCATCTGTCCACTTCCTTTGGTCCTCCTGCCACTGCCTTGGCCAGGCCAACATCGTCTCTCCCCTGGCCCCCATCACCATGCTTGCCACTGTGCTGTGCCCCTGCCCAGCCTAGTCACTCTTCATAACACCACGCTGCCTCAGGAGCCAATCTAGCATTTAACATTTAACATGGCTTAGATCCGGGCCTCTCAAACTTAAGCAAGCATCAGAACCACGTGGAGGCTGTTAAAACAGTGCTGGGCTCCATTCCCAGTGCTGGATTCAGTAGGTCTAGGATGGGGCCCGAGTTTGCATTTTTCACAAATTCCCAGCAGATGCTGGTACTGCAGAGCCGGGGAACACACTCTGAGAACCACTGACCTAGGTGCTGGCCTCCTGGATGAGCTCCTGCCAAGGCCTCTTGGGCTCACCTGAGCCACCTCACCCCTCAGGGATGGGAAGCCCAATGATATCAGGATGTTCCTGGGTGGCCAGGGTCCAGCACCATTGGTCTTACCAGCTGGCACCCAGTAAGCAGCTCAAGAACCACCTATGGAAGGAGAGGCTGGAGGGCTCGTTACATGTTTGGTCTTTTAGCTGTGGGACCGGGAGTACCTTAAGGGCTGGGTCTGTGTCCAATTCATTCCTGGGAAATGTCAGCCATTCACCAAAATGTCACAGAGAAAAAAGCCATCACCCAGCCCTCGCTTGGCAGGGTGGTTTATAAGCAAGTGGAGAACCCATGCGTCTACATGAATCAAAGGAAAAGGCTGTACGGAGCCACACACCAGGGTTCTGGGGGACAGGGATGGGAAATCCCGGGCAGCAGGGGCGCTGGGTCACACCTGGATTTGAGGCTAGAGCTGCTGGTCTTCAAGGGAAGGGACAGGAACGCAGAGCAGAGGGTGAGGGCTAGGGGGCAGGACAGACTGACAGCCTGTCCTGTGTGCCTTGCACATGCCAGGTCCACTACTGGTCTCTATGCTAGTTATCTAAGGAAAACCCAGGAGGTGGCTACCGTTCTCTCTACAGACAAGGATGTAGGCTCAAGGAGTGGGTCCAGCTCAGGTCTCCATAGCCAGGTGATGACAAAGTCCCTGGTCCCGGCAGGAAGGGCATTTCAGGGAGCCACTGGTAACACCCTTACACCCCTCCCACACCAACACAGAGGAACTGAGGCCAGAGAGGACTTGACAGGACTTGTCTCCACTCCCACAGTCAGCCAGGCTTGGAGCTGGCCAAAACGGCCCTCCACCTAGGCCAGGGTACTGAGTGGCACCCTTGCTTGCAGGTAGATGACCTAACCCTGACACCAAGCCAGGAACCCATGGCTTGGGAAACTACAAATAGGACCACAGAGACTGAGGCCCCGGTGGGCCTGTAGGTGGAGAGCCCTCACTCAGGCCAGAGTCTACTGCACTCAGCTCCAGCCCTCTTCAGGGCAGGGTTTTCAGAGACCAGGTTCCTCCACTGAAACCTCAGCCTGCGGCTATCTGTGCCTTCATCCCCGCAGCTAGCATAGAAATAATGATCTGACCCTCCAGGGGAGGAGGCCACATGGGCATGATGGTGATACCCTGATGGGAGGCAGACTGGGTAACATGCAAGGTGCCGAGGGGTAGCCCTGAGCTCATATTTGGCTTCCGCCCCTCACTGAGCCATGTGATCCCATCCTGGCTACTCCCATACCTGAGCTGGAGTTTCTTCAGCAGTAGGACAAGGGTGCCGAGGGGAGAACAGAACTCCCTCTGATGTGGGATCACCCTGCAGCCTCAAGAGGCTCAAATACAGAAAGCAGCCCCTGCAGGTGGCCCAGCAAAAACTGCTGTCCCTTTCCCACAGGCCAGAGGTCTCAGACACAGGACCCTTAGGTTGGACACAGTTCACAGACATGTTTTAAAAACAATCCATGCTCACAATCCATTTTTAAAAACATTCTGATTAATTGCCAACATTTAAAAATCCAGGAGATTTTATATAAAGGTCTAGATTTCTGGTTCATCTTGAAAATTGGACAGTCAGGTCATACCAAGACCACATTTCACACAGTGACAAAGATTGGAGCTGAGCGGCTCCCTGGCCCGCCTCACTCATTCCATTTCCCCCCGATCCTTGGAAGCATTTGGGTTTCCAATGCCTGGAGCTAGACTGAGCACCCACAGGCAGCAACACTGCACGGGCCCATCTTTGCTAAATTTTCTCTCCCACAGCCAAGACTGCAAGCTGAGCAGGCCCCGGAGCCCACGAGCCTAGGGTCAGGGCTTGGAGTTTTCCCAGGGGACTGAAGCAGCCCTTTGCTTCTTGGTCTCACCCAGAGGGAGAAAATGGAGGCAGGGAGGAAGTGAAGAAGGGAGGGAGAAAGCTAGCCCCATCCTATAATGCATCTGGGGGAGCAAGAATTTGGCTGATTTTGCTGGAAGAAGGAAAAATGTACCAAGACCTGAAAGATGGGGAATGTCCTCACTGGAGGAAAGTGAAGGAAGGTTAAGAATGCTCCTCTAGAAGGCTCTACTGTTCTCTTCTGCCAGGGTTACAAGAGAAGTTAGATGGCAGGCAGAGAGGAGCTCTGCCCACAGAGAAGCCTGCACTGTGGACTCAGCTCTGCCACTTACTGCTAGTATGACCTTGGGCAAGTCACTCACCTCCCTGAGCCTCCCTTTAGAGTCTTCATCTCTAAAATGGGGATAATAAACTTACCTTGAGCAACTGTTGTAAAAAAATTAGGAAATAATGGATGCAGAGCACTCAACACAGCTCTCACAGAGCAGGAAGGGAATGAAAGCTACCTGTGAGTCATTCCCCAGGCGCCCCTGCCTGCAGGAGACTCAGGCCTGACCTCCAGGGCACCACCCATCTAAGGGCATCTTATACCAAGGCCTCAAATGCCCCAGATGTCAGTCACCTCTAGGAGGCCTCCCCGGATGGGAAACGCAAGGGCTGTTGTGGTCACTGGGATCCTGGATCTGAAGCCCGTGGTCGGGGCTGGCATCTGCTGAGTCAGGCCTGGGAGAGCTGGCAGGAGGGCCATTTCTCTCTCCAGCATGATGCCCGCTGAGGGGAGGTTGGGAGGGGAGCCAGAGGTCATTTCCTCTGAGTCAGAGGCCACTCTCCTCCCAGAGGAGCTCCCCTGGAGGACCAGGCACCTCCATGTGGCGCGGGCCTCCCTGCCGGCCAACCTGCATGCCACTCAGTACAGTTGGGGCATTGTGCTCAGACAAGAAAGGGGCACTTGTGATCCAGACAATGGGCTGGGTCCATCCCATTTGGCCTGGGCTTCAGCTTCCCTGGGTCAGCAATGTCCTTTCCTCTGCTCTTGCCCACTCTGCTTCCACCCCTCCCTGGAGAATGGTGGCTAGGAACACGGAGCAGAGACTCACCGCGGGCCCATGCCCGGTTTGACACGTGCCCCGGCCGTGAGGAGGAGGAGGGATGCAAGCTTCGCTCCTCTACCCTGGTAAGAAACGTCGCCCCTGGGGAACCCAGCTCGGCTCAGGCCATGTCCAGGGCCCGCGCGATTAGGCCCTGGGGGGTGGTGGCGGCGGTGGATGGTTGGGGGGTCTATGGGCAAAGACCCCAGCCCCAGCCTCCATGCCTCCTCCTCCCGTGACAAGCCCAGGGGCTGGGCCGCCCCCACGTTTGCAGCCACCCCAGGAGCCCTGCTGCGACGACTGCAGCCACGTGGGAGCCAGCTCGTGCCCACAGCCGTTCGCCCCCACCCCCACCCTCGATGGGCTGTGGAGGCAGGCACACCCAGCCGGGCCAGAGGGACGACATGTCCCCGCTGCGCACCCCTCTCCCCCTGCGCCCCCGAGCTGTGGGCCCGCGTGGGGGGAGGGTGAGGGTGGGGGAGGGGGCGTCGCCACCCCGCAGTCGTGTTGCCGGGGAGCGCAACCCCGTTGCTGTGGCAACCGTTTCCAAGCGAACTGGTGGCGGCTCGCGCCCCGTTCCGGCTCCCTCGCTCACTGGCGCTCTCCCTCCCTCTTGTGTGGACTGGGGGAGGGGCGGCCCGGGCAGGGGTCCGGGGCGGCGACGTGGGGCCAGGGCGCAGAGCCGCCCGCGGGGAAGGGCTCAGTCCTGGGACCATCTTCCGCCCGCGCTCCGTGCCCGCCCGGCCCGCAGCCGCCGCGGTACTCACGGGCCCAGGCATCCTCCTCGAGCTCGTTCTCCTGGCTCGGGGCGAGCAGCGCGGGCCCAGCGGACAGAGCCCCGGGCCTGCGGGGGGAAGCGGCGGCGGCGGCGGCGGCGGCGGCCCGGGGGAGCAGACAGTGGCAGCGAAAGCGGCTCCGAGCGCAGGGCTGGAGTCGCGGGGCGCGCGCACGGGCGCGTACACGGCGGGTGCTGAGCCCGGCGTGCGCGCGCGCGCCAGCCGGCAGAGGGCCCCCCACCCCCAGCCACACGCCGCGAGGAGGCTGCCCCCGGAGGGAAGGAGGGGGAGGACGGACACCCACCTGCGGCGCCGAGACCTGGCTCTCCAGCCCGCCGGGCTCACACCCGCCAGGGCACCCTCACAGGGGAGGCACGCGCCGGCCGACGCGGTCCACACGCCAGGCTGGAGCCCAGGCCACACCGGTCGTGTACGCTGGATGCACAGCCAGGAAGCTGAGGTCGAGAACCCCGACGCGTACACAGCTCAGCTCGGAGAGCACACATATGTCCAGGTCCCTGTCACATCCTGACAGGCGCTGCGCACACGCAGTGGGCAGGGGCCCTGAGCAGGAAGGCACCCTAATGTGGCTCCTTACCAACTCATGACCCCTCCTGCTAGGTGCCCAGCAGGTGTGCACCACCACATGCCTACTAGCAAGCAGCACGGGGAGGAGGACCTAGTGCCGAATCCATAGCCCTGACCTCCGTGGACATGCCTCCCCCCACCCCACCAGGGAGCAGATGACCCCTAGAGAGTGCCCCACTGCCTACCCCGAGGTCCAAGCTTGCAGAGGCCACTCTGAAGTTGGCTGTCCATCGGCCTCTTAACTGGGCTGTCTCTCGTCCAACTTCTCTACTGCACTTAGGGTGATTTTCCCAAAACTCCTTCACCACCATATTAGCTGGAATATTTGGGGTCGCAAGTGACAGAACCCCCAAACAAATAGGTTTGAGCTCTACCCCGTCTCTACCAAAAAATACAAGAAAAAAAAAAAAAAAAAAAAAAAAGGGCTTGGTGGCGCACGCCTGTGGAGAATCGCTTGAACCCAGGAGGCAGAAGTTGCAGTGAGTGAGATCACGCCACTGCACTCCAGCCTAAGGGTTAGGGTTAGGGTTAGGGTTAGTGAGACCCTGTCTAAAAAAAAAGAAAAAAAAAAAAAGGCCCACGGTAGATTCTAGCTTTGGTCACAGTTGCTTCCAAGTGTTCCCGCAGTGGTGTCAGGCACGTATGTGCTTCTATGTTTGCATCACTCTCAGGCAAGATCTCCCCAAAGGGTAGCAAGGACAACCCCAACAGCCCTAGGCTCATATCCTGCCATCTATCCCTGGAAGAAAGGGAACCCCAATTCCTCCCCCATCATTTGAACAAAATACAAGCAACTCCACGAATGATTGTTTTTGGACTCATTTGGGCTGAGTCTCTACCAGTGAACCAGTCTAAGTGCCTATGTGTTAAGGGAGAGGATACGAATTCCTTATGCAAAGGGAGTGGCCTCCCAGTACCCATTCCCTTTTCTTTGGACACAGGCACCCTGATTTCAACGGGGGAATCACTGCCCCATGGGTGCCATCCTGGTGAGCCTGTGAACCCAAGTGCCCTCCTCCCTCAGTGCACAGCAGGCAGGTATCCAGCCTGGCCACTCAGACTCCTTGAGTTTGCAACTGGGCTCAAAGAGGCAAAACCAAATGGCTCTAGCATCTTAGTTCTGGTGGGTGTGCCCTGATGAGAATGGGGTCCACAACTAAGACCCCGAAGCTCCTCCATATCCTTTGGACACCTTCTAAGTTAGTGGGAGGACCATTCTGTCACTTGTAACATTCCCACCTGGCTCTCTCACTCTAGGTAGCGTGTGTAGTATGTGTATGGAGGGAGTGCAAGCCCAGCCCCATCTAAACCACATGGACACAGACTAGAGGTGCTTTTGTAGATGATGGAGCAAACAACCCAACACAACCAGCCAAAACCCTTCAGGGAATCCCCCACCTTCCAGATGAGGCCCCATCTATCTGGGCCTTAACCCTATGATAATTAATCCAGATATTTTTTTTTTTTTTTTGACACGGAGTCTCACTCTATTGACCAGGCTGGAGTGCAGTGGCGCAATAGCAGCTCACTGCAAGCTCCGCCTCCCGGGTTCAAGCCATTCTCCTGTCTCATCCTCGCGAGTAGCTGAGACTACGGCACCCACCACCACGCCTGGCTAATTTTTTGTATTTTTTAGTAGAGACGGGGTTTCACCGTGTTAGCCAGGATGGTCTTGATCTCCTGACCTTGTCATCTGCCCACCTCAGCCTCCCAAAGTGCTGGGATCATAGGCGTGAGCCACCGCACCCGGCCCTTAATCCAGCTTTCAAAGCTGGCTGTCTCTCACTGACCTCAGCTCCAGTCATTCCTTGCTTCCACCCCTGGCCTCCCATGCTCAGCCACCCTAAACCACTGAAGCCCTAGACCATCCATCTGGCTCCTGTACTTGGGTGCATCTGATCCTGTGTCCTGGAAGGCACCGACTCTAACACCTTCCGGGTCAAGGGGCCTCCTTGTTTGGTGCTGCCCCACCCCCAACCCTGTCAGCGCTAGAGTCCTCTCTTCCACAGGGCGGATCACACTGGGTCCCGCTGTTCCCTCGTCTGCCTCCCCACCAGACCAAGCTCCAAGCTGCCAGGGGCCTCGTCTCCATCTGGGTCCCAGTTCCCACCATAGAGCTGGGCATGGAGGATAGCTCAGGGAAGCTTCTTGGGAAACGAATTCTGGGAATTCTCTCTGCCAAGGACCTGCCATGCTAAAAGCCTTAAGGTGAGTTTAACCCTAGCCAGGAAGTTCCCTGGATGCCTCCCTAGCCCAAGGGGGAGACTGGCCAGGGCGTCCTGATCCAGGTGCAGGCAGAGTGCCTCAGGGTCCTGCATGTCCACCTGGCACCCGCTCACTCTTACATACCTGCCCAGGGCTGGGCTTTGGTCTAACATGCTAACACCTACCTAAAAATCCCCCACTCCCACCTCAAAACAGCCTGGGGCAGAGGGGCAAACCCACTCCAGGCTCCTTTCTCAGGACACATGAGTAGGATCCGGCGTTCCTGTCATTACCTGGCTTCCTCCCAACCCTGCAATGGCCACTTAACCCGTTGGAAGACCTTGAGCAGATCCCCCCTCCCCTTATTTCCCTTAGGTTGATGGGAAGCAGCAGGCACTCCACACGTCGCAAGTGGGGCCACAAAACGCCCCTTCTGCCAGGCTGCTGGCTTGGTACCTTCTGGCTGTGCTTAAGCCAGGTGGTTAGTTTGGTACTCAGCACCACTCCACAGCAGGTGAGAGTCCTGCGGTGGCTCTGGGAACTCCAGGGGCTAGCTGGCTGCTTGGGTGGATTCCCACAGCTGCCCGGCAAGGTGATGGGTCTCACACCTATCTTTCCAAACAAGGGAAGGGCCTGTGCAGAGCCAACTTGAAAAGTGGCCAGGCTGGGGCTTGAACCTGGAACTGTCAGCTACGAAGCTCGCGTGGCTCCTGCAGCACTGGGTGCCCAGTCCAGAGGCCAGGAACAAGCTCCATGGGGGTTACGGGGCATTCCTAGGGAGCTGGGGACGCTGGGAGTCTATAGAGCAGCATTGGCGTTGCAAGATCTGAGACAGACTGGTAGGCAATAAGCTATCGGCCCCAGAGCCCATGTAGGAAGCTGCCCTTGAGTGCCTCCCAGTCCCCCTTCCTCCCAGGTGAATGTCTACTTCGAGGCCGGCTCAACCACCATCTTCAGAGAGCCCTCCCACGCCAGCCACAGCCTATCTGCCAGCATCACCCACTATCTAGGTTTTTGCCCATCATGTGTCAAAGGCAAAACAGAGGGGTGGGTATGACGCACGTGCATCAGCCCAGGGGCTGGTACATGGCTGGCGTCCAGGTAAGGCAGGCCTGGGGCAGACGTTCTTCACACAGCTCCCACCCTACTCTAAGTCCACATTAGGCAGCCAGGCTACCTTAGGCTTGGAGGGGAGGACACCAAAGGGGCAGGCCTTACCAGCAGTCAGAAACAGACCTACACCCCAGTGGGTACCCAAGGCTTCTTTCCTTAGGCCCATCCCCTTTAGGAAGTTGGGAAACACACTGGGTGAGTCCAAAGGCTACCAAAGCCTGGCTGTCTGGAGAGGCTAGCTCAGAGTCAGCCCTGGGGGCTCCTGGGCCTCGGAAGGGCACACCCTGCCTCCCTCCAGGCCCACCTCCAATCCCTTCCCGCTTCCAGCTGGGCCAGGGGAGCAGGAAGACCCCTGGAGCACCGGCAGCAAGAAAGGCAGGCAGGGGCGGCTAGCCAGGTTTGTGCTTGCACTGTATTCACACAGAGACACGTGGCAGCTTACACTGGACAAAATGAGTAATAAAAATTGGCTTTAAATATGGAAAAAACAAGGCCCTGTAATCCCATGCTACCCTAACACTGAGACCAGGATGGCCATCACAGTCTGGGAAGGGCCAGGACTGGGACCTGGGGCACAGGCACAGCCTTGCCCTATCCCCTTCACCCACACAGGTACACACGCGCGCGCACACACCCCACAGGTGCACACAGGAAGGGGCGGATTATTGCTGGGCACGTGTCTATTGTTATGAGGGGAGTCTGGAATGTTTGAGGGTTGACCAGGGATGCCCCACCCCCTCCTAGGGGCTGGGCTCGGGCATTTCTGAAAGAGGTGTCTCCAGGACAGGGCCCAGCATCAGGGACCAGGCCCTGGGAGCCGGAAGGCAGAGGCAAACCTATCTGGGCCGGCCGGGGCAGTGGGCTGACAGGTCTCACAGCCGGCCCAATCTCTGGACACTTTGGCACAGGCCTAGGGGATACAGAGGCCCCAGATCCATCTCTGACAAGCACTGAGAAGGGACAGCTTTGGGCCCCAGAGAGTAGCAGCCTGAGCCCAGGGCAGCGGGGGCAGGCACGAGTCTTACTCAGAGGCCGGAGGTGGCCAGCACAGTGCTGAAGGCTCAGGGGTGTGAGCACCCTCAGCCGTCCAAGCTGGGCCGGAGGAGCCTTGAGTTTGGCAGTGGCTCCTCTGCCAGCTCCCACTCTCCCAGCCAGGGCTGGCTGCCCCCAGGAGCCAAGGCAGGCGCCAGGTCTGCGGCGGGAATTAAGAATGCTCTGGTCGCTATATACATTCGTACAAATACATAAATACAGAAAGCCCCGAGCTCCACAGAGAAGAGCTGAAGGGACGCACCTTTGTCCCAGGGACGGCCCAGGCCCTGCCAAACTCAGCCAGGCCAGGGGCTGAGGGGCGGAGGACACTGGGGACAGCTCCATCTGTGTTCCCCAGGCCACGACTTTAGTGGACAATGGGGAAGACCACTGTGCAAAACTGTAAACGGCGCTCGGAGTAGCTGCTACCGCCAACTGCCGGTGGGGGCCTCGGACTGGGGGCTAGAGGCGGGTGGGGAGCTCTTCCTCGCTGTCGCTGCAGTTTCCACAGCAATCCTGGAGGGACGGGGAAGACACGGAGGGAGGGAGAGAGGCAGAGCAGGTGCTATTAACCACCAGGGACGTCACATGGGGCCGACCCTGCCAGGGTAGGCCAGGAGCTGCCTGGGGGGCACACTCTGGGGAGGGGCCTCTCCACGAGGAACCTGGAGCAGCAGCTCAGGCCACACGTGGGTGGGCGTCATTGCAGAGGCTGCTAGCAACAGACTGAAGTAAGGGGGCTGGGTAGATCCCAGCCCTCTCCCCTGGGCTGGCAGAGACAGGGCACGGGGAGACAAGCTAAGCAAAGCTGGCAGCTCGAAGGGGCCAGGGTGCAGGGAATCGAAGCAGTGGGCAGGGGGAGTGGGGTGGGCACCAGACTTCTTTCTCCCACATCTTGCCTCTGCCATGGAAGGGCTGCCCGTGGCTCCCCGAGGCCAGGCAGCAAGGCCAACCCACGGGGAGCCCACACTGCTCACCTCTGGAAAGAGAAAAGAGGCCATGAGCCCAGCCAGGGGTGGGGGACAGGCGGGAATGAGGCCAGAGACCCTGGGCACCGCAACAGGGCTGGAGGATGCCCACTCCCAGTGCATGCGGGCACCGGCTCTGCCTCCCACCCGCCGTCCCCTGGAGCCAGGCTGGGGGCCCAGGTAGGCCGATGCTGGGGCTTACTTGGCGACTGAAGAGTCTCTGCAGCAGTCCCTTTTTAGGGGGTGCAGGTGGCTGGCCCCTCCAGTCCAGGTCTGGGGGAACTGAGCCGTCCAGCCCAAAGACATTCAGCTCCTGGAAGCACTCGGTCTCCACCATCTGCTGAGGAGCAGGCGGCTGTGACATCTGTCCCCAGGGCAGCCTCCTGGAGCCCACCCCACCAGCAGGCCAGGCCCCCACCTCGTTCTGCCAGGGGATGGGCACGCTGCCGGTGGCAAACTTCTGGTAGAAGTCCTGGTCGGTAGGCTCCAGCTCCACGCCCTTGACTGTAGAGAACTGTTCAATGTCCAGAACATCCTTGCAGTAAATGGCCTGGGGCTGGTGGGAGAGAGGCAGTGGTCAGATAGGAAATGCACACAGACACGCACACGTGAAGGCAGCTCAGCCCTGATTCTGACTCAGGTCTTGGCCTGGTGCTGCCCTGACACCAGCAGCTCTCTGATTTGGAGTCAGAAACCAGGTGCCCCCACACACTTCCTAAGTGGGGCAGGCCCTTCTCTCCGAAGCCTGGTTTTCCCCTCTGTGAACTGGGTACATTATTCCTCACTGCTCAATGGTTGTGAGGCTGTGTAAAGGCCAATGCCAGGCACCTCCTCCGCCTGCCACATCTTGTCTCTGCCATGGAAGGCCTGCCCGTGGCTCCCCGAGGCCAGGCAGCAAGGCCAGCCCACGGGGAGCCCACACTGCTTCGTGGGTATGCAGTTGGGGTGGGGAGTACAGGCTGAATCTCAGCTAGCCGCTCGGCTGGGCACCGCCACGCAGAGCCTGGAGCTGGTGACTCCTTGGATCCCTGCCCTGCGATGACCTGGGATTTGCTCCGTCTTCTCTCCCAGCCAATCAGAGGACTGGCAGTCTCCCACCGCTCCACCTCCCGAGACCCACGCTGGGAGCCCATCTCAGCTCCAGGAGGCCACCTTCTTTAAAATCTTAACATGGTTTTCTAAATCCTTCAAATAAGATGTCAATTAAAATATCATCGTCATGTAAAATGGTGCAGCGGCTTTGGAAAACAGTCTGGCAGTTCCCCAAAAAGTTAAACATCATTACCGTATGACCTGGTAATTCTACTCCTAGGTATAGACCAAGAGAAATGGCAGCATCTGTCCACACAAAAACTTGTACATGAATGTTCACAGCAGCAATAACAGCCAAAAAGTGGGAACAATCCTAATGTCTACCAACTGACGAACAGGTAAGTAAAATGTGGTCCATCCATGCAATGGAATATTATTCAGCCTTAAAAAGGAATGAAGCACTGATCTATGCTACAACATGGATGAACCTTGAAGATATTACGCTAAGTGAAAAAAGCCAGGCACAGAGGATCACATACTGTGTGATTCCATAGCTATGACATGTCCAGAACAGGCAAACAGAGAGAGACAGAGAATAGGCTGGTGGTTGCCAGGAGCAGCTGGAGGGAAGAATGGAGAATGACTGCTAAGGGTATGGGTTTTTTTTTTTTTTTTTGCAAAGTGGGGCAGGTAATGAAAACACTCAAAAATTTATTGTGGTGATGACTGCATAACTAAAAAGTCAATGAATTGCACTTTTTTTTTAAGATGGAGTTTTGCTCTTGTTGCCCAGCCTGGAATGCAATGACATGATCTCAGCTCACCGCCACCTCTACCTCCTTGGTTCAAGCGATTCTCCTGCCTCAGCCTCCCAAGTAGGTGAGATTACCGGCATGCGCCACCACACCTGGCTAATTTTTGTATTTTTAATAGAGACACGGGTTTCACCTTGTTGGCCAGCTGGTCTCGAACTCCTGACCTCAAGTGATCCGTCCACCTTGGCCTCCCAAAGTGCTGGGATTACAGGCATGAGCCACCACGCCCAGCCGAATTATACATTGTAAATGGGTGAATTGCATGGTATATAAATTATATAAACTCAAAAAAGCTGTTAAAAAAATCATCATCAAGCTTGCTTTTCATCTACTGCTTCTACAAAGTTAAACTCCAGGGCACTAATTTTATCTCCAACTTTGAATGGAAGACCCAGAGGCAGTGTGGTTATTTCAAGGTTAAATGAAATGATGAACACAGGAAACAGAACAGACTGAGTGACGAGTGGCAGTGCCAGCCTCAGGGGCGAGCTGGCGAAAGTCAGGTTGTCCTAGTTCAAGTGCCTCTGACAGGGCCCACCTTGGCTTTGGAAAACAGTCTGGCAGTTCCCCAAAAGGTTAAACATAGTTACCATATGACCTGGTAATTCTATTTCTAGGTATAGACCAAGAGGAATGGAGGCCAAGGCGAACGGCTTACCTGAGGTCAGGAGTTCGAGACCAGCCTGGCCAGCAGTTCCAGTGAGGCCCATGTGAGGCAGTCACTCAGGGCAGTAGCCCCCTCGCTGGCGCCCCCACTTCCACTCACACCCACTATGGCCCACTCCCCATACCTCACATTCCTGCCCAGGGTGCCCCACTGGTCCCGTCTTGCTGAGAACCTGCCCGCACTCCTCTGCCTGCACGGGCTCACTCAGCCACACAGGTGTCCTCGCAGCCGCTGCGCCTCACGGGGCTGGCCCCTGCCTCAGGACTGCAATGCCTGGCTGTTTCTTCTGCCTGGAATGCTCACACCCCAAATCTTGGCGTGGCTCTCCGCTTCACATATTTTACATTTCTGCACCACCATCACCTCCCCAGAGACCACCGTGTCTAAAAGTACTCCCCCCACCATCATTCTCTGCCATCTTGGTAGCTTGCTTTAGTTTTCTCTTTTTTTTTTTCTATTTATTTATTTATTTTTTTGAGACAGAGTCTCGCTCTGTCACCCAGGCTGGAGTGCGGTGGCTCGATCTCCACTCACTGCAAAGCTCCGCCTCCCGGGTTCTCGCCATTCTCCTGCCTCAGCCTCCCGTATAGCTGGGACTACAGGCGCCCGCCACTCCGCCCGGCTAATTTTTGTATTTTTAGTAGAGACGGGGTTTCACCATATTGGCCAGGATGGTCTCGATCTCTTGACCTCGTGATCCGCCTGTCTCGGCCTCCCAAAGTGCTGGGATTACAGGCGTGAGCCACTGCGCCCAGCCTTTTTCTTTTTTTTTTTTTTTTGAGACTAAGTTTTGCTCTTGTTGCCCAGGCTGGAGTACAGTGGTGCGATCTCAGCTCACCGCAACCTCCTCCTCTCGGGTTCAAGCGATTCTCCTGCCTCAGTATGCCAAGTAGCTGGGATTACAGGCATGCGCCACCACACCCAGCTAATTTTGTATTTTTAGTAGAGACGGGGTTTCTCCATGTTGGTCAGGCCAATCTTCGAACTCCCAACCTCAGGTGATCAGCCTGCCTCAGCCTCCCAAAGTGCTGGGATTACAGGCGTGAGCCACCACGCCCGGCTGCTTGCTTTAGTTTTCTTTATCACACTTAACATTACCTGGAATTCCTTCTGGCTTACTGGTTTATTTGGGTGTGTCTCCCACTAGAATATAAGGGCAGGACTGGCTCCAGTGGCCCTCATTATCTCCAGGGTCTGGCATAAATGGGCACTCAGCTATTTGCTGAATCAATAAACGTGTGTCAGCTATCAGCCTGGCCTGCCCTGCCCATCCTTTGGGCCTCTCCAGTGTTACTGGTGAACCGTTAATTACAGGACCCAGTCCTCACAGACAAGGAAGGGGAAAGCACATGACCTCATCTTAGCCAGTCAGAACCGTCCCTGTGACTGTCACACAGAGAAGCCTAATTCATGGGGAGGGAAAGAGTCAACAGGTTGAAGGCAAGGCAAGAGCTGGAGAATCCTGGCACACAGCAGAAAACCCTGAAGCTGGCCCTACTTTGGGACTTTCTGGCCAAATGAACCAATACACTCCATGTTGAGCTTAAGTGAGTTTAGGCTGGTTTTCTTTTCTTTTTTTGAGACGCAGTCTCGCTCTGTCGCCCAGGCTGGAGTGCAGTGGCCGGATCTCAGCTCACTGCAAGCTCCACCTCCCAGGTTTACGCCATTCTCCTGCCTCAGCCTCCCGAGTAGCTGGGACTACAGGCGCCTGCCACCTCGGCCGGCTAGTTTTTCGTATTTTTTTTTTTTAGTAGAGACGGGGTTTCACCGTGTTAGCCAGGATGGTCTCGATCTCCTGACCTCGTGATCCGCCCGTCTCGGCCTCCCAAAGTGCTGGGATTACAGGTTTGAGCCACCGCGTCTGGCCTAGGCTGGTTTTCTGCCACCTGGCCTCTGACAGCTAGAGGACACTCTTGCCTGCTGAGTGCCTGGCCCACTGAGATGCTCAGTTAACAGGTGAGACTCTATAAGGGGAAGTGACCACCCACAGAAGGACGACCAGCCCAACAGCCCCTCCCACTGCTGGCAACTGCACTGTGGTTTTCCTCTGGGGAACTGAGCTCCCCCATTGGTGCAAGGTCACGTGGGCGTATGATCTGGGTGTGGCTAGTGAGGGACTATGAGCAATGACAGGCAATGGACATCAGTCTTGGTACTTCTTTTCCCCCATGAGGATTTCTTTTGAAATTATTGGGCAAGGCCAGGCACAGTGGCTCACGCCTGTAATTCCAGCGCTTTGGGATGCCGAGGTGGGCAGATCACCTGAGGTCAGGATTTCAAGATTTCAAGACCAGCCTGGCCATTATGGTGAAACCTCGTCTCTACTAAAAATACAACAATTAGCTGGGCATGGTGGTGGGTGCCTGTAATCCCAGCTACTCAGGAGGCTGAGGCAGGAGAATCGCTTGAACCTGGGAGGCAGAGGTTGTAGTGAGCCAAGATCTCGCCACTGCACTCCAGCCTGGGGGACAGAGCAAGACCCTGTCTTGAAAAAGAAAAGAAAAGAAAAGAAAAAAAAGAAAAAAGGAAAGAAAAGAAGAAAGAAAGGAAAAAAGAATGAAGGAGGAAAGGAGGGGAGGGGAGGGGAGGAGAGGGGAGGGGAGGGGAGGGGAGGGGAGGAAAGATGCTCTCTGTCCACTGTGGCGGCTGAGCTGCTGGGGCCCACTGCTGCCACACCCTGGGGAGAGCCACCTCAGTATGAAGACTACACATTCAACAGTACAGGGAGGGGAGGGAGAGAGTTCCTAGGACATTGTCAGAGGCCCCAAGCCCCATCCAGGGATGCCAAAAGCTGGAACTATCCTGGGGCTTTTCCTTTTTGTGAATTATCTTTATTTTTGTGGCTAAGCCACTAGATTGTTTTTTCTGCCGCTTGCAATGGAAGCATCCTGGCTGATACTACAAGAGCCCCTGAGCCCCAGCCCTGGCTGGGCCCCGCCCTCCGCAGGAGTGGGCTGCACTCACGTCAGGCTTGAAGGGCGGCTCCAGCATGCCGGCTCCCAGCCGCTTGAAGTTCAGCTTCTTAAAGAGGGGGTGCTCCTTCACCTCGCGGGCACTGCCGCCACGACACCCCAGGCGTTCGGCGGGGTCCTTGCAGAGGAGCTGTGGCAAGGCAGGGGTGAGGCGGCCAGTCAGGCGGGTGAGTGGGTGGGAGGGAGGGAAAGGTGCGTCCACCCCAGCCCTAGCTGGCCAGGCTTTCGTGAGCTGCCGTACCTGTGAGCAGAGGGAGCGGGCCTGCGGGGAAAAGCGCTCGGAATACTCCTCGGGGACCTCCTTCACCAGCCGCTCCACCTCCTCCCGCTTGATCTTCTTCTTCCTCTGCTGGAAGGGCGACTGGCCTGCGATCATTTCGTACAGGAGGCAGCCGAGCGCCCACCAGTCAGGGCTGAACGTGTACCGTTCATTCTTTACCACCTCCGGAGCTGGGTGGGTGGCATGGGAGTTAGGGCTGGGCAGGAGGCGGGCAGTGGACCCTCAGGCCCCAGGAACGCCAGCACACGTTAGGTCTGGGATACACTCAAACCTGTTGGCCAGGCAGGTGCCGTCCCGGCTTGGGGGGGACCTTGGCCAGTAGGAGAGCGCAGGCCCCATCAAGCGGGTGGGTACAGCCCTGCAGGAGGCCACGCCCAGGGTCCCTGGGTCTTCAGATTTTACACAAGAAGTCAGAAATCTGTATTTTGTATGTGAAACCATCTGGCTTACTAAAAACAATTTGACTTAAACACAAATGTAGGCCAAATTGGGCCCACGTGGCTACCAGTTTGCAACTTCTGGATTTAATAACAGTGAGAAGAAGGAAACTCCTATTTTCTGACTACCTCCTACCTTCCAGGGCAGCCCCGTGGGGAGTTTTCCCTGAACTCTCTCTTTTCATCTTCCAGGCAGCCCTGTGAGGCAGGTATGATGAGCGTTTTACAGTGGAGCAAAGTGAGGCTGGGAGCAGTGGAGTCTCTGGTTCAAGGCCACGCAACAGGCAAGAGGCGGCACCTGCAGAGCCAGAACTCTGCCTCCTGTGTCTCTCAGTCTCCAAGTGGAATGTGGGGCCTCATCTTGGCCCCTCCACTGGCCTCCTTCACAGATGGGCACAGGCAGGGCAGGGACTGGGGCCACAGAAACAGATGGAGGGTCTCTCTCCTCCATCCCCCACTAGCCACTTGCTGGCTGAGCCATAGCAGGGTTTAATAAGTATTTAGTGGCCGGGCGCGGTGGCTCAAGCCTGTAATCCCAGCACTTTGGGAGGCCGAGGCGGGCGGATCACGAGGTCAGGAGATCGAGACCATCCTGGCGAACACAGTGAAACCCCGTCTCTACTAAAAATACAAAAAAATTAGCCGGGCATGGTGG